AGCTGGAGCAGGAGATGACTGAGCTGAAGAGGAAAGACGGCCAGCTGGAGCAGCTCTCACACACAGAGGATCACAACCAGTTTCTCCACAACTACCCCTCAGTGTCAGCACTCAGTGAGTCTCCACACTCATCCAGCATCAAGACTCGTCCTCTCAGATACTTTGAGGACGTGACGGCAGCTGTGGACCAGCTCAGAGACAACATACAGGACGTCCTGAGGGACACCTGGACAAACATCTCAAAGAAAGTCTCAGAAGTCGACGTCCTTCTGCCTGAACCAGAACCCAGAACCAGAAAGGGTTTCCTGAAATATTCTCGAGAACTGACGTTGGATCCGAACACGGCTCACGCTCACCTCCTGCTGTCGGAGGACGACACCAAAGCCACGTACATGAAGGAGCAGCAGACGTCCTGCAGCCACCCGGACAGGTTCACCGCCTGGCACCAGGTCCTGAGCAGGGAGACGCTGGTCGGACGCTGCTACTGGGAGGTGGAGTCGAGGCGCGGGGGCGTTCGCGTCGCCGTGGCATACCACAGCATGAAGCGGGCCGGGCGTCTGAACGAGTGTCTGCTGGGCTGCAACGACCGGTCCTGGGCTCTGTGCTGCGACAGGAACAGCTACACCTTCTGGCACAACAACGTGAAAACTCCAGTTCCAGGGTTCTGCTCCCGCCGGGTGGGAGTGTACCTGGACCACAGGGCAGGGGTTCTGTCCTTCTACAGCGTCTCTGACACCATGACCCTCCTCCACAGAGTCCAGACCACCTTCACTCAGCCGCTCCACGCCGGGCTCCTGTTCTACGCCGACGGAGACACGGCCGAGTTCGTCAAACTGAAGTAGACGTGACCTCTGATTGTAGTTGTTGGATTTCTTCTGTTTTATCTGTTCAGGTTTTTACCAAGGAGCTGTTTTTATTTTATGGTTCAGTTTGTTTTGATCAAACTCACTCAGGAAGATCGTTTCTAATGAAAAATATCAGCGTTGACCTTTAAAACACATTTTATTACATGTGAACAGTATTACTCAGGTATAACACTAATGAACAGATTCACACAATGTGGTTTTTCTATCCTTGTGGAGACTTCCTGTTCATTTTCCAGTCCTGTCTACAGTCTTTCTCTTTGAACTCCCCCAGCCAAACTAATGGTATCTGTACCCATGTGGACCAGGATTTGGTCCTCACCAGGTTCATTTGTGTTTGTTTGGAAAACATGTGTTTAAACTGTCAGAATTGTATCATAGATCTGTAAAAATACAAATATTAATGTTTTTTTTAGACTTCAGGTACGGGATAAATCTTGTGCCAGCAGGAATTTAATTTGAATAACAGATTGAATCTGAATGGGCATCATTTGAAACTGAATTTAAAGTTTTGTAACTGAATTAATTTGCTTTGAAACTGTATTTTAGTTTATTAAAAATTCAGTTTGACTACTTTCAATTTCAGTTCCATAATTTAGATTTTTGTGTCACATCCTGGTCCTTGAGAAAGCCAGGCAGTTGCCTGGCTTTCTCAAGGACCAGGATGTGTGACACAAAAACCTGAATTATGGAACTGAAAGTAGTGAAAATGATATTCTAATAAACCAAAAATACAGTTTCAAAGCAAATTAATTCAAATTCAAAACTTTAAATTCAGTTTCAAATAATGCCCATTCAGAGTCAATCTGTTATTCAAATTAAATTCCTGCTGGCACAAGATTTATCCCATACTCAGGCCAGTCAGCAGCTTCATGGAAACCAAAACCGATAAACTGGGTTAAGAACTGATTCTGGTCCAAAAGGTTCTGGAGGACTTTAGGGACTCTTCTTTTTTGACGCTACTTCGGTTTGTCCAGGTTTCCCCTCTGCTCTCTGAAGGTCCCAGTGTCTCAGTCAGGTCCAGGTTCTGGACTCATGCAGCGCTATGGTTCTCTTTTTGACTAGTTCAAAAAGGACCAGGGTTCTGTTGGACCGGTTTGGTCCAAATTTCAGCTGTCAAACAAATGGACTTACGTTTGACTCTAGAACCCTTTGGTCTAAAGTAGGGCGGTCCGCTCATTAACCCTCCACCGCCTGAATGGAGTAAAGCAGAGGTTCCCAAACTTTTTATCTTCTGACCCACGAAATATCCATGGTAAAAACTTGTGACCCCAAATATTACTGGTCTGAGTACACGAACTTCATTAACAACCCCAAAAACACAGGCTTTTGACTATCTAAACAGCTTATACACAAATATAAATACTTATTTATACTTATTTAGTGTTTTGGTAATAGTTATAGGAAAAATATTACATCAGCAATTATTTTATTATCCTTTAAATTGATTTCTGGAGATTATCCAAGGTGCTTTATGACCCATAATTGGGTCCCAAGCCCAACTTTGGGAACCAAAGTGCAGTGGTTCCAAAACTTTTCAGCTTTTGACCCACAAAATAACAGTAGCAGAAACTTGTGACCCCAAATATTACTGGTCTGAGTAACAACCCTAAAAACGCAGGTTTTTTGAAAATCTAAACAGCTTGTACACAAATATAAATACTTATTTATAC